CGCTTATACAACTTATGTAATAATACACTGGTAACGCTTATAGAACTTACGTAATGATACACTGGTAACGCTTATACAACGTATGTAATAAAACACTGGTTCCATATTTATGCTATACATTACGTCTACTTCACTTCCCGATAAGATTGGAAACTGTAAAACCAAGGAATACCTTGTCACTCAACAAGTTACAAATGTGTTAATGATATAAGTTATCTTCATATATAACTTAAGAGTTAAGATAATAAATACGTCAAAACATAATTTTAGGCAACTATTTGTACTCTTTGCTGTTGGTAAAACTAACTCGTATATTTACCGATAGTAACTCTTTAAGTATGCTGTACAAAACGATTAAAAGATGGTCAGAAATTGTCAGTAACTTTTTGTTCATAATATCACAAAACACGCAGGATCAATATAAAAGCGGAAAAGAGCGCCATTAACCCAAGTAATTTTTGACTTCTCTTCTAATGCTAATGAACCTCTCTTATGCAAACCAGGCATCTAAAGATAGGTCATGTGTTTGAAATATACATATAATGTTAAATGTGACCTTCTTAAAGAGGTCGAACGCACCTGACCCTTCCAGGTCTTTAAGACCTAAAATCAGACAAGGGAAGGTCGTGTCCTTTTTACAAAGACAACATATATTTTTTTACCTATGTGATCCCACTACTTGTGTGATCTGGAACCCGTGTCCTTGTGCTCCCACTAGCTGTGTGGTCAGGGACGTGTGTCCTTGTGCTCTCACTAGCTGTGTGATCTGGAACCCGTGTCCTTGTGCCCCCACTGGTTGTGTGGTCTGGGCTCTGTGTGCTTGTGACCCCAGTGGCTGTGGCCTGGGACCTGTGTCCTTGTGACTACACTAACTGTGTGGTCTAGTAGCCGTGTCTTTATGACTCCACTAGCTCTGTGTTTTGGAATATGTGTCCATGTACCTCCACTGGCTGTGTGGTCAGGAACATGTGTCCAGGTACCTACACTGCCTGTGTGGTCATGAATATGTGTTCATGTACTTCCACCGGCTGTGTGGTCTGGGACTCGTGTCCTTGTGACTCTATTAACTGTGTGGTCTAGAACCCGTGTTTTTGTGACTCCATTAGCTGTGTGGTCTGGAACTTGTGTCCTTGTGAACGTACTAACTATGTGGTTATGGACCCATGTCCCTGTGCCCTCACTAGCTGTGTGGTCTGGGACCCGTGTCCTTGTGACTCCACTAGCTATGTAGTTTGGAATATATGTCCATGTACCTCCACTGGCCGTGTGGTGTCGGACCCGTGTCCTTGTGGCACTATTACTTATGTACGATACGTGTTCTTGTGACTTCGCTATCTGGAATCTGTGTCCTTGTGACGTCATTACCTGTATGGGACCCGTGAGTTTGGCATTTATTAGTTACAATTTCTAAATATCAAGCATTTTCTTAGCTACCAGTGTAAATTTAGAGTTAAAATTAGTACAAATGTTTTCAGAGTGTTATGTAGCGAAACTCAACTGGCAGTCTCTTGACTCACACGAGATTGTAAGTCTTATTTCAGAATCACATTAATGTGTACTTGGCTAACTTTTATCCATGCTTTTAATTAGCTTCAATCTTTAACTGTCTTCTACTGTAAAGCCTGTTTTACAAGTGTACGAAAAGTTTAAATGCTAATACCTCCCCCCTATATGGAATGAAACAGTCCGCAGACCGGGCAGCTTGAACTCAATGTGCCGTCAGGAACAAGAATAAAAATGAAAACATGATGGGCCGGAGTACACATTTACAATAGCCAATACGATACGGTGCTTAAGCCGAAGGAGTCAAGTTAATATGTGTATCTCATATAATAAGGTGCAAAGTGGTTATTCAAAAAGGGATTTACAAACGTATAATTGTGATGTACACAAACTTTAAGTACTGAGCGGATAATATTCAGTTTACTTTGAATATTTATTTCACCATAATTTGTTCATCATCGAATTCTCGTGATAACGTGGGTTTCCGTGTGTATACACATATCATAGAAAGATGCGTCATGAATAGAACCTTCCCACCCACATCCGAAGAAACTCCTGGTAACGCACGTGGTACTTTAATAAATCATACATTTGTTCGGACTTTTACCTTTGTCACGATATTAAACTATAGAATATCTGCTAATTTTATTATTGTTGTTCTTCATTAATTTCACGTATCAGTAAGAATTTACAGTCTTATCGATTAATGAATTACCAACTTACGTTTTACAGCTACAAATCTTCGACACCAACAAAGATGGAAGGTTACAGCTGAGCGAAATGGCCAAGTAAGTACATAGTTTCAAGAAACGTCACAATGAAACAATTCTACACAAATTGGGGGAAAAACAGTATTAAAATAATTATAACAGAATGTCAATACTCCAAAAATATAGGTTGGTGAATAAACACTCCAAGAATATAGGTTGGTGAATAAACACTCCAAGATTATAGGTTGGTGAAGCTAATCTTGGAGTATTTATTCACCAATCTATATTCTTGGAGTATTTATTCGCCAACCTATAATCTTGGAGTATTTATTCACCAACCTATAATCTTGGAGTATTTTTTAGGTTGGTGAATAAATACTCCAAGAATATAGGTTGGTGAATAAATACTCCAAGAATATAGGTTGGTGAATAAATACTCCAAGAATATAGGTTGGGGAATAAATACTCCAAAAACATAGGTTGGGGAATAGACACTCCAAGAATATAGGTTGGTGAATAAATACTCCAAGATTATAGGTTGGTGAATAAATACTCCAAGATTATAGGTTGGTGAATAAATACTCCAAGATTATAGGTTGGTGAATAAATACTCCAAGAATATAGGTTAGTGATTCGAAATTTCGAGCAAAAAAGTAAGTCAGTTTTACAAGACTAAGGGTAAATAAATATGTTTTATAATAATTTATGAGTGAAAACAAAGAAGAATGCAATGTGTCAACCACACTACGTATGCCACATCCAGTGCCGACGAGGCCTATCGCACATTACCAAGTTCTAGTAAGTTTGTTATACAAAACTAGATTCAGTTTTAAACAAAGGTTAAAGTAAATCTGCACTACTAAACTAAGGTTTACTTAATGAATTTTAAATTACTAAGACTCGGTAAATCAATATTGAAGAAAACAAGGTGTTCAATAATCTCGGGTGAATGTTAATATGAGTAATATTTCTTAAGTGTTAATCGTGTTATAATTGGTTAATAAATAAGCATTGAAAGGTGCGAAACAGCGTTTCCTTCATTATTAAGCCTAAGTTTTCAGTCTAATTACAGCCTTTCTGTAATCAACCTTCTTCCTCAGAGGCAACTCTGTAAATAGCTTGGAAGCTCTATTATTATTATTATTACCATTTTGTTGAAGTGTGTTCTTTTCCTTATTTTAAAGATATAAGAACACAAGGTGCGAGATAAATAAACACACGGACGTGACACTGTTGTATATTCGTCGTACTTGTGCATTGCTTCAGTACACTGATCTATTGTCACCTACGTCACAAACTTCTTTTTATAAATAAAACTATAAATGAGTATTATGAAAGGTGTTTTATGTATCTATTTCTGTTTTTCAGGCTACTTCCGGTGAAAGAAAACTTCCTCTGCCGGTCTGCTTTCAAAGTAAGATTTTATTGTTTAAATGCGCTACCATGGAAACCATCATCCACTTCTTCCTCAATAACACTATTTTTAACTTTGTAAATTAAGCCTTACGTTATTATATTAACAACTAATACGTTTCTACTGTTAGTCAGAACATTGAAAATATTTGAAATACGTACGTTTCGTTGACTTGTAATAATTATTTATTTAGTTTAGTACTTGAGGTCCGAGGCCTGATATCGGCCTGTTTTTGTAAGCCACAAGTAAACTGGAAAAATACTTTTTATGACATAATAATGTTACAGTTGACAAGTTTTGTTTGTAATTTTCTTGCAGGGCTGCAGTAATCTGACGAGAGAGGACATTGAAAGAGTTTTCTCGCTTTATGACCAGGTAGGATAAGAGCTTCGGAGCTGCCAGTAATAAGTTATTTATGATCTAATAACTTTATGACCAAGTAGGCTTAGAGCTTCGAAGCTGCAAGTAATAAGTTATTTATATTGTAATAACTTTATGATCAAGTAGGCTTAGAGCTTCGGAGCTGCAATTAATAAGTTATTTATATTGTAATAACTTTATGACTAGGTAGGCTAAGAGCTTCGGAGCTGCCAGTAATAAGTTATTTATGCTGTAGTAACTTTATGACCAGGTAGGCTAAGAGCTTCGGAGCTGCCAGTAATAAGTTGTTTATGCTGTAATAACTTTATGACCAGGTAGGCTAAGAGTTTCGGAAAACTTGTTTAAGAGATTAAAGACATTAACGAATGTTGGGAAAGTGTCTACCAGGGGTTGAAAAATACAATCAAGGGAAGTGGAGATCAATTGAGTGGGATAGTCACAGGCAGAGACTATGGGACGTCCTGAGCACCTAGGTTTGTGATTTTAGGCTAGCATGTAGAAAAGTGCAATTCTGGGGTGTTCAAGATAGTACTCATGTCCTTAATCTCTTAAACAAGTCTGACTCTGTCACTACCATTGATAACATTTTCAATATGGACATTCAATCTCTATACCCCTAAACATTTACTAAACAAAAAGGAACTTGTATCCCTCCACAGACACCATATTTCTGCTGGCTGACTTTTTGATTTTTGCGAAAACACATATCAACAGTTACAAGGTGTTGCCATGAGAACCAAAATGGGTCTATCCTATGCCAAACTTTTTGTTAGTTCTAGTACCTTCACCCACAAACTTGCTACCTTTTTTATCTGGTACATCGACGATATTCTGGGTCTTTTTACAGGACACAAAGACGAACTCGACCTTTTCATCCATTGTACCGAAACTTACCACTCATCTCTTAAATTTACTTCTCAAATTTCTAGTCAGAAAGTTAACTTTTTAGACATCGCTATTGACATTTCCACACCTACACTTACTACCAGCATACATTACAAACCCACTGACAACCATTCCGGTTTACACTTTAATTCTTTCCATCCCTCTGAACACAAACACGCTATTCCTAAGGGTCAATTCCTATGTTTCAAACGCCTGTGCTCCGACAACGCTGACTTCAAGTGTAAAGCAAACGACATGACTCGTTATTTTAGACATCGGAACTATCCCGACAACACAATTGAAAAGGCTAAATTTGCCACATTCAGTTTATCACAAGCTAACGGTCTCCACTCTAAGGTCAAACCACACAATTCCTTTAGTCCTTACATACCATCCTTTAACCAGACAGATTAGCAGAACTGTCTAACGCAACTCTACCTTACTAATAAGAGACAACAAATCTAACGACATTTTTACCACCCCACTCTTATTTTTTTAAAACGTGAGAGGAATTTGAAAGACTGTCTAGGACATTCCAAATTACAGACTGAACTGTCTTTACTTGTACAAACTAACGGAACTATTTCGTGTGGACGAACTATTTGCCTGACATGCGATTATATCACCAACTTGTCGACTCTCTCCAGTTCTGCCTTTTCCTTTTACGAAAAAGGCCAATTCACCTGTACATCAGAGTATATTATATTCGCTGTACTAGATGTAATCAACTATATATTGGGGAAACTATACGCAAATTAGGGGACAGATTCCGTGAATATATTCGACTTGTACGCAACGGCTCCCTCGAGCACCCAGTTTTCAACCCCGAATCCCAACGGAATTGACGACATAAGTATATTTGTTTTATTACATGCCCCCCCCCCAAAAAAAAACAAACAAAAAAAACGAGGATGATCGCGAAAGCCTAGAACATAAACTTATATTTAAACTACATTCTCTCGCACCACACGGAATTAACGAACATTTTTCTTTTAAGTGATTACAACTTCCATTAATATCTCTTTGCCACCCCTGTTAACTTGACACCACCTTCACATATTTCCCTGATTATTATTATTAAGTTACTATTTAATCATTTTTCGAATTTATGTTCATTATTTTTTTGTGTCCTTTAATTTTTTTAAATCCAACTTCTATCACTTTAATACTTGTTTTCCATTTTAAAACTGTTTATACAAACGCTTTAACAATGTTCCTTCTAACAATATTTTTGTTAACGTGCTCCACGCAGTACGTATGTATTAGGTCATCAAGAAATTAATGTCGTATTTTGGAACACTTTCATTAACCACCATTCAAAAAACGTACATCATGTATAATAGTT